ATCACTAATAGTGTACGTTTGTCAAAAACAATGTTACTGGTTTGAATAAACAAAATATTTTATTTGTTTACTGTTGAAAACAGAAAAACACTTCGGTAATTAGAAATCATTATTGGAGAATATGAAACTAATTAGACGGAAATGTTAAATCTTGTCGAAAAATTCATTTATTGCCATCACTACTTATCATGAAATCAACAACTTAAATTTAGCTTTGACTGATCCAAACACTTTGGTACCTTCGATGCAGGAGAATTTCGGCAATACTCTAAGGTATAGAGAGTGGTAACAATTCAATCTCGTTTGCTTCATATTTGATTTCTTATTTAAATAGTAGCAGTGTGAAATTCTACAGCCCAACTGTATTGATCTAACCAGTTCATTTAGTTTTGTAGCTCAGTTAGTAGAGCATTGGGTCCATAATCCGAGGTCACTAAATCCAAAGTTGTCACAACTCAGGTTTACCCTTCCCTTTCGATTATCGCATAATATAAAAACATTTCAGTTAAATTTATGGTTAAAAATGAACCACAGAAAGAATGGTGATCAGTAAAGACACCCTTGTTCAATTTTGAGACTTTTCATAATCTATCTATTGATTTCAGGTTGGTATTCATCATGTATTGACATTAGCTGGGGTACCATTAGAAACTTTCAAGTACTGGACAGCCGTTTCGTTTTAGTATGAGACTCCTCAGTAGAGTGCACCCATGACTCCTCAAGGGATCGAACCTAGGACCTCCAGTTCACGATATAGTCCGGCCTCCATCTAATGCTGTTGCTGACTATCTGTACTCATGTTCAAGTTGGTTGGCTCCACCGCCTACGACTTCTCACCGGAACTTTCAGGATCACCTCTTGAAGCTAGTCACCAATGAGTTCCACATTAACTCAGTTTTGAAGAGTCCCATACTAGGACGAAATAACTGTCTGGTACTCCCAGGTTTCCAGTGTTTCTCCAACTGATATCGGTTCATGATGAATGCTAATCTGAAATGTGCATGTTATTCCACACAGCCGTTAAATTTTCAACTCTGAGCGAAGTAAGAGCGACACAAATTTCACAGAATACGATAAATTAATTAATTGTAATTCGTTACCTTCTTTACAACCACATAGATGCTATGAAAACTTATAGTATGTACAAAAGTATTTGGAATGAATTAAATTGTTAAGATAAAAGTTTCCCGGTGTCCACCTCATCAAACTGTCATTCTGAAACGTGTGATAAATCAAGGAAATAGAATTTGATGAATGCTGGTTACAGCGTCCAGATCTTGAGAGCATCTAAAATAATCAACAAACCTAAACAATGCAAATTTACTGGTATTCGTAGAAACAGATGTTATCAGACGAACTAAATACAGCCTGTTCATTTTTCGATTTTACACATGTATCAAAAATGACAATTTGATGAGGTGAGTTGAAAATGATGAACTTCAGTTGTTTATCTCCACAAGCGAATTCACGCCAATCTTCTTAAATCTAGACTGTCTGCTTCATCATTATCTTTCATCAATCTTCGCCTCATTTACTTAGATATTTAGATTATGTTTCTTTTTTGCACATATTATGATTTGCACAGAGAGTATGCATTTGCAAAAAAGGTGAATAAGTTACCCTGATTGATCATGTTGTGCAAAACTTGTTCTTATTATTTACTGAAAGCTAGCTGTTACTTAGTGGAAACGTGAAACAAGTTCATCATCTTCTCAGCAAAATTAGACATCATTTTTGAGTAAGAAATTGAAAAAAACCCAACAAGTTGACCTGTGCTGTCATCTATCTTAAAACTATCCGAATTCATCGAAAAATGTTGAGTATGAATACTTTCAGAAGCCTAGTTCTTTATTGTGATCCACGAAACAAAATATTTTAAGCTGTGCCAAGATCATACACTAATACAAAATTGAAATTTATTTTTCTTGATCCGTTTATGTCGTAACGCAATTTTTATTTTTGAAATGATACATTTTGGTAAAATTATTCATCTTTTTCATTCATTCATCAGTTTAACAAAACTCCCTAAGTTTAATAATAATAATAATCACTTTATCGAAAATAATATGTTATATACGGTATGGAATTCACAGAAAATTCACTAACGAGAATAGTATAATCGAACGAAATGATTACTGTATCTGAGTAATGTTAATATTCAAGGCAATAATCTGAAACAGTCAGCTGCCTTCCGATAAGTGTCCAGCACACAATGACAATCAAAAAAATGTCAAATTTAGTTTGGTGCTGGCCGTTCATTCAGCCAGTACAAGAATCTGCAACTGAAGCTTAGTACGGAAGCGATAAGAATATGATATATTTGCGTATTGAAAAGTCTACGTCCGTATAACGTGATATCTTTTCTCTGTTTTGTTGTTAACTGAAAAAGAGTGAATTGAAAGCATTATAAAAGTGTATAAGAGTATATGATGCGTTCAGATAACATAACTGAATAATTAAAACAACTGAAATGAAAAACTTCGATATATATGTTTGGTGAAGAATTTCGGTAGCTGCGAGTTCAAACAGGCCGTTTCATTCTAACCTTCTGTAGCTGAATACATTTTTGTGTTTGGTTATCCTTTTTTCCAAGTATCGTAAACTACTATCGATCACTTTTTCATGACCGGGTTTACTTTGTGTTTTGGTGTACACATTTATACGATTGCGATGCGAGTGAGGAAAACTAATTAAAGAAATGTTTCTTACTCGGATCCACTGCTTTTCAGATGTTCAAATGAGAACTTCTAGCATAACCTATTTTATTTCTGTGTCAGTTAACGTTTTGCGATATAATCGTTAATTTTCCTCGGAGCTATCACCCACCTGATTTCATCTGAATATAAAACATATTTCCAGATTCTGCCAAATGCACGACGTTTATGTATCCGGTTATAAGCAGATAATGTGAAAAACAGTGAAATAAAAACGGTACCTTCATGTTCTGCTGCAACTCCAAAATTGGAATGAGGATTTTGACATCAAAAGTTGCATTACGATGACATGTGTTTTTTTATTGAGATTCACAAGTGTTAAGAAATCAGTAAATCACCTGTACTTTTAAAGGTTATTATCGAGCGCGGGAAATGAGAAAAAAAGAGCCTCACATACTTATTCACCGAAATTTCTAACAGAAATGAAGTGAGGTTATTATATGTGGTTCTTTTATCTTTATCAAATTGTCGGTGTAAAATCTGATATTATTGAAGGATATTCGCAATCAGTGGAATGCAAGACGCACATTTCGTCGTATTCCGGAGTCGTCAGCTGGATGTATCTCCCACATAGTAGATGAAGTTGTCCTGACTAAGTCTAGAACCCCAGGTCAATCGCTTCAAACACCAGAGAGTTATCCACTAGACCAATAAAACAAGATAGCCACTCCATGTACAACCGGTATAAAATAGTCTGATGAGATAGTTTATGAGTCCCTGTCGTCGACTGGAGCGAACTGAAGAATCGTACATGGAGTGGCTATCGTGACTTAGTGGCCTAGTGGATAACGCAGTGACATGCGAATCGATCGGTTCTGGGTTCCATTCTCGGTGGAAACAACATCACCTACCATGAGGCAGGTACATCTAACTGACTATTCCCGAACAGAACAAAAAGCGGGTCCTGGACTCTACTGCTAGCCATTATCCACCAATAATATCAAATCTCAAAAATACTCGCAATATTGGGGTATTCCAGCAAGAGCCTATCTGTCCATAGTGGCAGATCAATTCCTTCAAATTGACGACGGAGATACACAAGCTATATCATCAAAGACAGTGTCGAAATGAAACTTTGAAACTTTTCAGTAGTAATCTCAGATTCATTTACTGGTCTAACAGTAGAATTAAGTGATTTAAAAGTAAATTCTAAGCATGGCCGAACATTCTTGTAGAACTCAAGGACTTTAGAGCATCGAATAGCTGTTTCAGAAAACTTTTGGACTACTTAGTGGTGCACTTTCATATATCTTAGGGGACTTTTGCCCAATACCATCACATCTCGCGGCAAGCTAGTTATCGTTCAGTAGCTAGAGCTAAAACCGGTGGTCGACATTTTTCTAGTTCTGTTAGTTCGTGATGTAGCATTGATTTCACTGATTAGGCTTTGTAGCAAAAATTATACTTTTGCCTTCTTTCTGTTCCCAGATTATGTAAAATTTTCATCTTACATTGTCTACTAAACTGTACGCTTAGTCAGATAGTGTTGTTTTGAATAAAAATCTTGATTGCAGAAAGTCAGTCGTTGTTTCTTTGCATCTTCCTGTGCTCACCTGCATATCACAAAAGTGATTCCGTTGTCAGCATTTAACATTCTGGACGACTGGTTCCATATTTCGTCTCATAACGTGATGCAAATTCGTCTAGGATGAAATAAAAAAAAGTCAGAACGTGACTTTAGAACATAATCAGTGTTTAGAAATATCAGTCCTTGATTACCTGAATACTACACATTTCATAAAAACAGATACAGATAACAGACTGATAAGTTACAAAGAGCCTGACATAAAGAAGCAGTTCCTTAAGCAGTGAACAACATTCACACAGAAGAATCACACGTCAGAAGCGCTTTCATATTTATATCCATTTCTAGAAAACTCGTTAGATAATACAAAATATGTCAATGATTGATGTGATTTGAATGGAGGTAATTGGCATGATTCCGTTGACGTAAATGTCATGCTGTGAAGGTGATGCCCCTCCTGAGATTCGAACCCAAACAAAAGATGGGAATCATTTGCACAATAAGTGATGATTTAGCGTTACCAACAAAATGTTATTTCTCAAATTTAACCAAACATTTACGAAGAACTAACGCTTCTATCTTTCCGAAATTACAGTTTGTTAAGGTTTCAGTGAAGGTAAAGCTGAAGTCTTATTGGTCATTTTCATAAGTTTTAATTCTTTCAAGTCCTTCTGATTAGTCAGTTTGTCTACACTAAATTTAGTTTATAAATTACATTTCAACCAATCAGTAACCTGACTGCATTTTATGACTTCTGGTAATAATATTTTCGCTGGTCTACCAGTCTTTTAGTTCTAGTTAGTTGTAAATTCATCAGGCACAATAAATACTCACGATTAAACCTTTTGTGAAATGCTTTGTACACACCTTTAAGAAACACTGAAATTTTTTGGCACATGTATTAACATTCTGTAAAGCATTTAAATACAATTGAAAAACTTGACTCAAACATTCAACAGACATTACAAATCGGAATATTCAATTTTAGCATCATTCGGGAAAAAAGTAAGTCACTGCAAATGCAGAGGTGATAAGTTAATTTTCGTGTAAATCCATTTTAGTTTTGACAGGATATTGGAATGTTACTGATTTACTTACTTGAGCGAATATAGTCTGCAGAAAACTCTAACAATAGCGAAATGATTACGACAGAAAGATTCGGCGACAGCAACATGTTTATTAACAGATAGCGAATTGAATGAACTCAGTGAGTACTTCCTCTGACTCATAAGTCAAATGGGTGGCGATTTATGTTGTTGCTTGTATAATCCCGTCTTTGATTGAACCGAATTGATCCATTTCTACTGGCTTGTTTGCTCCTGCGTGGATGCCTTGATATTGCCAGTGGCTAGCAGGGGAATCCAGGATGCACGTTTACTACTATTTGCTACTTTTTAGGGGAATGTAGCTGAAGTTCAGTGAGTGATGTTGGTCCCAGTGAGACTCAAACCCAGGACCATTCGCTTCAAATATACGAGTGTTATCCACTGAACCACTCCAGCACGATACCCACCTCATGTGCAACGGGTATCATTTGTTTTTGTTTGATACTTGTAGGTTGTCGTTGTCGCACAGGACTGAATTGCTTAGTTATAACAATAGCAGAATTAGTAATCTGGTAGTATCGAGCCCTCCTCACTGGAACTCATCTGCCAACATAGGTCAAGAAATTCGACCCGACAACAAATGATGCCCATTGCACATGAGGTTGGTATAGTGGTGGAGTGGCCCAGTGGATAATGCTTTGCCGTTTGGCGCGTTCGGGCCTAGGTTCGAGTCTCACTGAGACCAACACCACTCACTGGGCTGCAGCTGCATCCCGCTGATAGGTAGCAAATAGGGGTAAACGTGCATCCTGGATTCCACTACCAGCGACCAAACAGATAATGACATAGGTCCACTTTTATTTCACTTACTTTGTTACGATTGGATGAAGTGCTGAAGATTCATATTTATTGATGATGAATATCACCAACTATAAAGTTAAGTCTTATTTTCGTAGTATAGCTAACGTGGGAGTGTAATACTTTATCTAATGTGAACATGATGAGATTGTATAAGACGTCAGTGGATTAGCAGATTGAAGGCAAAAAATAAAGCCTGATTCGTGGCAGTATTGAAAGCATTGACTACCGTACTGCCTACCCCATCAACGAGCCAAATGGCTCAGCTGTTTATGCTGTCTTAACTTTACCTGAATTCCTCAGTGTTTATCCAATTGTCGTATGAATACCTGATACCTAACTGTCTGTCCATTCTGATCTTTTCGCCATGTCAACCTAGTTTTCTCATCCTCATCGAAGTCGATTTGTCTCAGATAGTGGAAAGTAGAAGATATGGAAGGCATGGGTGATCATAAATGCCTAAAAGGTGTTCTTTCTTATCAGCAAGCTATAAATTTATATTTAGATGTACTTATTAGAAAATTTATTATGCATTTATCTACTGACACGCCTACCACTTAATGATCGCAACGAAACAAAACTCGTAGAGGTTCTTTAAGTCTAAGGTGAATCATGTAGGGACTTTGAATCGATTCTGTGTTGTCGATTCGTTGCGTGAATAGTGTGAATCAGTCAGCTGACTTTGAAGGAAGAAAAAATCAGACATGAACACTTTTTACCTTTTTAATCAGTTAATTATAATAATTATCAGAGTGAATTTTCAAATATTCCCGGCTAAATTTTGAAATGGTGGAGAATATTTGTAGCTCAGTTGAATGATCTTGGTTGTATTGTTTTCTGAGCTGGGTTGTTTAATCGTGCAGTTTTCATCGTCTTTTTAGACGACATCATCGGCACTAACTTCAGTATGAAGTACTGAAGTTAGTGCTGATGGATTGAATCGAACTTTTTACAGGAAGAGAATTAGCACTTTAATATTAAACAGTTCATTCATTGTTTTCACTTTCTGACTTTCAGTTTATATTTAAACAAAGCACACTGAGTACATTTCTACACGAACTAAATTAAGTTGCTACATTTAAAGTCTTTATTTCCGGTTGACTTCAATGAGCTAAATCAGTATTTACTCAGTCGTTATTCCGGATGCATAATATTCACTTCGCATTATAACAGTGCGAATAAAGTTTACTAGGAAGAAAGGTTCTGTTTGAATGTCACCTTATTGTGAGCTGTAAACTACAATAATGAATCCATACCTCATTGTTTTGAAGAGAAAAGCGGATATTGTGCCTGTGTGGCATTAATTTATTAACTAGCTAAATATATACATCCTACCTCCTGCTTCGACGTGCCATACTAGAGGAAGTTAGATTGCTTTGGAGGAGGGTTCAGGGTAGCCAAACCAAGAGGTTACAACAATCAATGAAGTCTCCTACTGTTGGTCTGAGTTGTGTGTGTAGATGTATACCGCCTGGTTGGCTCCCAGCAATGAAAGGAAACGGTGGTTTAGGACTGCTGGTAACATGGCTGAAAATCAGCCACAATGGTACAGATGCATTCACTCCTTGACATCCGAAGCTTGAATATTCATAATAACCTTTATCTTCAAATTGCTTGTTGTCTCTCATACCTTCGTCTAATCTGATATCACCCTTTTCCCATCAACCAGTTGTTTGTCTACTACTGTGAAGCGTGGCAACCTGAGACGACGAATCTGTGTTGAAGGTCCTACGTTGATTTCGTCAGTCACTCAGTGTATACATATTCCCTAATCTTATGCGCATAACAGGTAACAACATTTAGTATTAGTTCAGTATTGATATTAGTGATACCTTAAAAAGATTATGATTTCAAAAAATCATCCGTTGCACCTCAGCAATAAATCATCAAGAAATTAATTACTTCAAATTGTCTGCATAGACCTATCCCCTTTTACTGACGTTAAAGTATTCCTCCTTTTGGCAATGAGAACGCAGAGTGTTTAGTAGCGTTTTGTCCTACACTAATAAAGACATCAGTTAGATCCAAACCAGTCAACAAATGGAAGTAAAACCTTTTAACTTTCATCCTTTTGTTTGCATAAATAACGTGTGTAAACGTATCCATAGTAGCCAGACATGCTAACATTAGAGGAATCTCAAAATGAAACTGATCTCAGTCAATACTTTGATCCTAATCGGTACAATAAAAGTGCAAAGTAAATTTGAATTGTTATATAACATACAGCAGATTGAATAAGTTACGAAATCATTGGGAATAGAAATTTTCATTATCTAAGATGAAAACACTAACTGAGATTGCTTTTTTTGAAGTTTTGCAAGCTTTTATATTTCAGTACGAATAAGCAATGAAACTGAAAGCAGTGAGGGTATACAGTTGACTTACGAAATGAAACAAAACCTTGAATAGATTATGATTTTTAAGTTTAATCCTGGAAAACACATGTATATATGTAATTTTTAGCACTGGGATGTAGAATCTTTTTATCAGCAATGACTCCTCTAGTCAAGAAGACATGTTACTAAGCCAAAAGTGTTTTCTGTTGCAAAATTGAACAAGTGTTTCCCTCCCAAATACAATTCCATCTTTGAACACTCCAGGAAAAGTCACTTGTATAAGGAGGGATATCTTTTATGCACACATATCAAGAGAATAATGGTACTGAGGCGAATGCATGAAAAACTATTTTTTTTTCCTAGGCATATTCTTACCTACTAACCGTAGAATATAGTAGCGCAGTTTGCACTATATGAAGTGAGGTATCTGAGCAATGAAAATAGTTTCACATTAAATTGTTTATTTGATATTCTATACATTGATGAGGTATTATTTATTGGATGACATTTCGGGCAGGATTTATTGCTCATTTTCCTATCAAAGTAATCATACAACTTTTAAACTTCTTTTATGTAGTTTAACAGTTCGTTAAATCGTTTATTTTAATAGAAATAAAATTTCATAGATATCTGCAATATGTGCTGAATCACTTATGTTACATATCATGTATTAGATGTTGGTTCAGTGAACAACGATTCCATGATCTATCTCTCCTTTCATCTACCTACATTGCGTTTTAGAATTATCTCTGTATCCCATTGTACACTGTGATTTTAAGTCGGTGCATTTAGAGTGGAAGCTAAGTTTTTCCCTAAATTACTTATCTTAGTGGGGTCTACCATCGTATATTTTGCTAAATTTCTGTGTTCTGACCGACCTAGATCGGCTGCAGTTGAACAAGTCAGTAAACTATATCTAGTGGAAGAACTCCACAGGATTATCAAGAAACTAGCCAGTACTTGCAATTCATTAACTACCAGCAGATTGTTGAAAGCAATTCATATTGAGAGGTGTTCATACAAGTAGTTCACTAACATGGGGAATTTTAAATACTTTTAAGCTCCTCTAAAAGACATGATACACTGATTGTCGCCAACAGATAACCGATGTGGTTATCTAGACATTAGTTATTACTGAAACTTACCGATTGACTTTTAGCAGCAATGCAATTTTGAGTCACTCATTTTATTGGCCATATTGCAAATCTGTTTGTGACACCTTCATCAGCACTAAACAATAAGAACTAGAGAAATCTGTCGGGTACTCACTAGTGAGAAATTCGTGTACCTAATCCAGTCCTAAGAAAAATTAGATATAACCTGATGAGCTTAGTGGTAAGGTCTCTGATTTCAGCGTTGAAGGGCACCAATTCGAATATACAAGGGAATACCAGTTTTCTCATGGTTGGAAATACACCCCACTTATGAGTTTTACTAGGTACGAAGCCCAGTTAGTTGACTCTCAACATTTTACATTAGACACTTCAATTTGTGCAAAAATGAAATTTTGATTCAGTAGTAATCACGCCTGTTTGTACATTAGTCAAAATCATAGAGCATGAGTGTAAACAGCGGTGGAAATGAAAAGATATCTCCCTCCAAATTCAAGTTCATCTCAAGCGTTTTCTCACTAGACTGAAATAAAAAGTGTCAACAGGAATACTCAACCGTATTCAGCTAATTAACAAAGTAGTTAGAACCGGAGTTTAGCCAATATGCACAGTGGAAATTGTTATGTAAATATATTTGATAGCACTATGGTTAC